ATTCCCCTGGCCACGGCGTGGTTTAGGGTTAGGGTTACATCTTGTATGAATTCAGAACTCATGGTATAGACTGTAACAGCCAACATGCCTGCCTAATATCGTTGTTACAATGAGTTGGATGCGAAAACAGAGTGGCAAAAAAATTGTGGATCTTCAGCTGGCTATGGTCAAGGCATCGCCACGAATCGGCATGAATGTCTGATATAGATAGAATACATGCTGCGGAAGCAGGAGAGATGGGTTTCTATGTATCTGCGTTCAACCCTAAGATAAATTAACATCCCACACAAGCTAGCATATGAGACCATTCAGCTTATGCACTACATAGCCTTTCGTACAGGCCCTGGAGCCAACCGACTAGACCAAAAAGCGCACCCATACTACTAGATGATCCTGTATGTTAGGAAACAGCCGGGGAGATGATCACATAGCATGACGTGATATTCTGGAGAAAGCGAATTCTCTAGCCTAGACCCTAGAGCCAGTTCACGTAACCCAGCAACCGAGCTCCTGTGTTGAAAGCCTCCAAGCAAGTAGAAGATAGAGCGGCACAATGCTACTCCTTGGCACAGGAAAATATGGAATTACGCACTGCAATTCAGAAGGAGAACCAAAATCACAAGCGGATAAAGAAAGTGATTAGAGAAGAAGCTAGTCTTATCAGAGGAGAGACCCAAAGCCTTATAGATGAATGATGAATCTAATGCTGCAAATCAATTGGCAGCAAGCCTTGCCAGTGGAGAGGATGGATTACCACGCAGGCACGCCCCTCACACATGCAGTGACTGCCATAGAATTGGTCATAATCGAAGGCAATATCCTAATCGCACTAGAGAAGCGTACAATTTGGGTGAGGAATAATTGACTCTGATTTTGCACGTCTTCTAAAAGATCCTCCTCTAGATACATGTCTTGATCCTCTTCAATACAAACATAGGGGCGAGATATCACGCATTTACGAAATAACAATCCTGACTCCAAAATGTAGTTTGCCTTTTGGCGCTCTGGTTCTCACGGATATGTTGCTCTTCCGAGAATTCACAGATTAGTAAGGACATCCGGACTGGGACTAGCGCATCAAATATCCAACAACCTAATGTGATCACGTGTATACAATACAGTGTTTTTATGAGACTCTTGAGCAGCAGTGATTTATCTAAATATAGAGATATTTGCCTCAATTATAATCGCTTTAAATGTAGTAGTTCCGTTTTGGATAGCCTTCCTATGAGATCGTTCAACCTTGGCCTAGGTTAGACGATCCACTTTAAATGGAAGTCACAGCGGGGCTACAGAGTAGTCTCTACGTTAATAGAGAATCCCCACTTTCATCCACAACAAAACCATGGCCACAACACAGTTCTCTTTAACAACAGAGATACGCCATGTCCATCGCTCGAAGCCATACCAAGTGCTGCCAAGCCTTCGGGGAACTATGCGACCCTGCAAATAGATCAGAAATATACGATGACCTGTTGAACGAATTCGCTAAATACTGCTTTCGCGCTTTTACTGCTGGCGTTGCGCATTTGGGCGAGATGGAAACGCTTTTATCACGCTATAGACAAGGAGAAGTATCTCCCTATGAAGCTCAGGTACCAAATTCTATTTCATGCTGCGAAACTCGTTGGAAGTGTCCACATTCTATTCTTGGCAGGCACTCACTTACACGTGCATATGGTTAGATCACAAGATTCTTAAATATCATAGAAAGTCAAGTCCAAAAGACGCATCGGATTCTTGAAGGAACGCGGATTCCCTTTGAATAGCTTGCATCAGGTGCTAAGAGTAAAATGCTAAGCTTAGATGAAGACTCGCCATGGGATGTGTCTTCGGACTCGTCAGGCGAGCTTCGCCCAAGTAAAAAATCACAGACAGAAACTAAAGACGAGTGCGAATTGCCAGCATCATTAGAGTCTACCTTAAAGCGCTCCCCCCAGAAGGCCACAGAGCTATCACAGTTAGTTGGTTCAATTCAGCGCGGTGTGACTTGCCTTGACAAACTTGCAAAAACTGATCGACTAAATGGCTGGTCAACCGCAGAAGAATTGTGCCATGAATATTACGACATCAAACATGTTAGGGAAAAATTTCCTGACCCGCGTCTCAGCAACGATGTTATAAGCCGTCTAGGGAAGATGATTACCCGATGTCGGAAACGGCTTCTGAACTTGGCAAGACACCAAACCAATCTCCCAATGAATTTTAATGATACGAGAGTATCTCTCGCTCAAAAAGCATCCACAACGCCCATGTCGGAACCTAAAAGTGAAGAAAATACGTCGAAGAGCAAGGCTACTACATTTGAAATGAAGGGCCTGCCACTAAATATGAAAGACTTACCGGCATCTTCCATTATCCCTTCAGACCGTGCAAGCTCTACCGCGGCCAGCGAAGCCATCCACATTGACGCCCAATCATCTTCAAAGAGTTTCAAGTGTAATTATTGCAGCCTCCCGATTTCTATTAGATCGAAATATGCCTGGAAGTAAGTGAAGTGGAGATGCTATTTTAAAGCTATCAAAACGCGGTTTTCCTTCTTGTTCTTACTTCAACCCGGGCTAATTAAGACCTTAGGGTCCATGTTATGAGCCACTTGCAACCATATATGTGCACCCATTCAAATTGCAGCGTTCCTAATAAAATTTATGAAAACCGTGACACTTGGTTCAACCATGAACTGGAACATCGCAGGGTCAAATTCTTCTGCAACACTGAAGACCATGAGGCGTACAAGACTCAGGCAGAATTTGCAAAGCATATGAGAGAGTCTCATGAAGCACAACCTAACGACTTATCCATAAAATTAGACGCTTTTTGTCGACCTTTGACGGTTGTGGCTGATGACCAATCTGCCGGAGAATTGTGCAAACCTTTGCTACAGAAATACAAGAAATTTGATGGGACACGTGGCCTGGCATCTTAAAGAAATAGCTTTGTTTGCTATTCCTTCCTACCAGATTGATGATGATGGTTCGAGTAGAGGGATTTCGAATGTTCCACGAAACAACTCGATTAGTTCCATAGCGCAGAATAGCCCATACTCAGCTTCCCAGGATTCAAAAAGTCTGTCCGAGGTTTTGAGTGCTGATAACGACGCTACAGTATTTACAAGACCCAGGGAACATCAATATCTAAACAGCGATGTGGTTGAACAGATAGAAGTCCCTCCTACAGACGAGATTGTGTGGGATGACTTCACCAAATTCTTGCGTGCTCGAAAAGACAACTCGGAACGGGCCCCGATGTCACGGCTAGAATACGGAGCAAGATATCGTACGGAGCCCTAAGCCCTAAGAGGATGAAACTAACGGGAATATCCTTCTTTTTCTTCAGGATTTCCTAAATAGGCACCGACAAGGCCCCGGACGCACATATAAAAGGGGTCCTTACGAGTAGCTTAGCGAGTTTTTTTTCTTCTTTCCTCATGCTTAGTTTTTACTCGACTAGTTACCTCTTAGGATAGAGAATGAACGCACTCACACCCGATAGATATCATCTTATCCGAAGAAGTGGCTGAAAATAGAATAAAAGGCTCCAGCAAATACAATATCGGATGGATCTGCGCCACCAGTACTAAATACGTCGCCGCAAAAGGCCTTCTCGACAAAGAGCATGAAAGCCTGGAATATGGATCTGCCGACGATAACAACTTTGACACACTGGGGGAGATGGAAAAGCACAAAGTGGTGATCCCTCGGCTGCCGAAGTGGGAGTATGAGTTTGCGGCTGCAGCCAGTGTCGCACGAGATATGGCACGCACCTTTCCCCATGTCCAAATTGGCCTGATGGTTGGTATTGGTGGTGGTGCACCTAGTAAAAAGCATGATATCCGGTTAATACAGTGGCGTTCTCTCCTGATGGCAAAGTTCTAGAGACCGATCAAGTACATTTCAATATTGATTCTTTTTGTGTTCACAGTATCTCACCAACAGCAAGTGGTGGTCTTCACAACCATGTACTGGTGAAGAACAAGTGGGTGGCTCGAAATGATACAAATGTCATTTGGCTCACTGCTGAGTATCGAGCGAGTTACTCCGCCGTCTCCTGGGGCATGCTTATTTTAGGTCAACTTACTTTCTTGAAATTGACCTGAATGTTTCTTTGTGGCCACTAGCTAAAATTTTCAAATCATCTTTCTAAAAAGGAGCATCTGGGAGGCTTCGGTTCATATATGATAAGTAAGTTGCCACCAGGGCTTTCCTGCTGCCTTCCCATTTGTTGTAGTTTGTTAGCGTGATATATTCAGTACAAAATGCGAAAACTCTAAGTTCCATTCGACTGCGAGCGAGGATGACTCCTGGTTCTTAACGCCACCCGAAAACACATCCAGCATGCCTCCCTCTACTCAGACAACATCAGAGATTTCAATGTTTCACAGTGTATCGACTAATCCTTGTAGATCGAATCTGTGATTCTGCTGAGTTCTTGTATGCTATCCTTCACGGCGTTCACGCTTTGGACCTTCACGTCTTGGACGGACAGTGACAGCTTATGACTTTCGAGTGTATCATTGTGCATCTCTGGCTGATGAGTCAGTCGTTGTGTTTCCTAGCTAGTAGAATATCGATAATACCTCCTATCTCAACACCATTTTCCACCAAGACTTTAATATATCTCAAAAAGTTGATCACGATTTCTCTGGCGTACGAATTTGACTGTAATTGAGCGTCGAGAGATACCTCTCCCGTCTCCAAAGCATAGGTACGATCAGCCCATGCTTCGAAGTTAGTAAGGCAGTTCTTGCATTCTTCTAAGTGAGGTACAGGCTGTACAGCACACTATTCTTTGAGAACCTGACGACAGGTCTCTGCAGCATGGCATATGGTATTTTGGTCTGCCATAAGTTTAATTATTCATACCAACAGCAATCCTGACATATTAGAGAAATGAGGGTTAGGGTTAGTGATTAAACAAAAGATTTTGTGGATTCAAATAGACTGAAAGTGTGGGTGCACTAAGGTGCATATACGTACGTACGAAGCACTTGAGTCAATCTCAATAGGTGATTCTTTCAGTTCTGTGTGTTCACTTCTTCTAAGTACATCATGTTCCAAAGCCGCGTCTATATAGACCTTCTCCTGAACTGATTTGTAAGCTATCCCATGGGCCATGGGGTAAACCTGAGACCATTCTCTTACACATAACAGTTTCGGATTGATCGCTTCATTTGATGGCTTCATTGGAAAGCCAGCTTATCTGACACATCTCGATTGCATGAAGCAACCAACAGAAAGGCACTGTCCATAAAAATATCCATAAAATTACGCTAAATGACTGGGCGCCAACAACGTCGCACCAATTGTACCATCTCTCCTAAAACGGTATCGCCCTCCCACCTAAGAATTCAAAGCTGAAAGGATTGTTTACCACCTTATTACGTCGGTTTTAGTCCTCTGGCCTTATTGGTTCACGCAAGGAATCGTTATATCGAGGCACTACGTGGTATCTAGGATTGACTAGAGTTGACCAGGACGCACAGAAATATTATATATGAGATAATAGATATTTCAACCTAGCACGCACAGCTCTGCACTAGTGATGCTCTTGATTTAATCCAGAGTCTCTCGTATCAGAGAAGAGAAGTTCATTCCTTTGATTAAGCACAACCCCTGTCACCGATATTCATCAAAGACAAGGCTGGCAATCTATATAGGGTTAGTGTATCTCGGCAATCTTTACTATGTACAGGCCACACTCTGTTGACTTAGGAACTTTTTCTTTTTCCTTCCCCATATATGATGGGGCCCCCATTCTTCCCTTTTTGCAATCTCTTCTCTCCTTTCTCTACCAATATCAACACAAGCAATACCTGAAGAGCGAAGGGCCCTAATATTAAAATTACCTTCAGAGAAACTAGCCCTCACAAGTCCGTAATGGATTTCCAAAAGTTTTGGTTTCTTTTCATTGGCAATGGTGTTCATTTGCTATGTACATCGATTGAATCGACTTACGCTATATGTAGATATTTTATCCTGGCGACACAATTTTAAGACTTTAGGAGCAATGATTTGTGTGAGTACCTTCCAAACCAACTACATGAGCTCTTTCTTTTGTGTTATTCTAACTGACTTGTGTTTATGACCGAAGATGAGAGAAGAAGATGGTGATATAAGGCTTATACTTATGTTTCTTTGATAGAACAACTGCACATGATTAGATTCTGGCAATAAATGTGGAGAATGACGCATCCAAATTGCCCGCAGAAACAGACTGCATTTGTATTCAGCAGCGAAAATGAAGACCAGGGCTGAAGCTTGGACAAGAGAATGGAGGGCATCAACCCTTCGGGTCACGGTACTCCAAGTAAGATACAGATAATATCTACAAAGCTACGTGAAATTGACTGACATCATGACACTTGCAGTTCATCATGATATAGAGCAACGAGGTCCCATAATCCGCCTCCTAAACAAGTGAAACTCTGCGGACTTTAGGGAAGCCACAACACCCTCATCGGATACCGCAATATCCTCATCCGGACCTAAAAGTACCCCAGAGATTACTGCTGTACTCCAAGATACCAAGACTTCAGAATCATGGATAGAGGCTACTGATAAATGTGCAATCCCTCACCAAGCTTCTCCAGAACAAAGTGCCCTGGAACATAAAGATACGTGATTTCTCTGGCGATTTCTTGTCTGAGGATACCCACTGGGGAGATTTCATATTTTTGAGTCTCGTGCTGTGTTTGTGGCTGGTGTATGTCCTGGTTGGAAGCAACTTGTGTTTCTGTTCAGCTATTATCTGTATCTTACTTGGAGTACCGTGACCCGAAGGGTTGATGCCCTCCATTCTCTCGTTCAAGCTTGAGCCCTGGTCTTCATTTTCGCTGCTGAATACAAATGCAGTCTGTTTCTGCGGGCATTTTGGATGCGTCATTCTTTATATCTATTGTCAGAATCGGATCATGTGCAGTTGTTGTCTCAAAGAAACATAAGTATAAGACTATTATTTGTGCCTTACTTGGAGTACCGTGATTGAATGGTTGATGTCCTGAATCCTCTCATCTGGGCTTGAGTCTTGCTAAACCAACGCGCACATCTCTGCGCTACTATGACTATAGTATATTATGTATAGCAGTCTACGTAGCATGCCCGAGATTTTACTCCTAGATAGACACAGAGAACAATACATTATTGTCGGAACGTGAATATCAAACTCTACGCGTTTCGGCACCGGACTACTTAGTCTCACGTGGCACGTGCGTGCCGCGTGTATATCTAACTAGCTATCCCCCGTTCCCCCTCGTTCTTGGGGACAAGTC